GGGGGGGGGAGGGAAGTGTAATGTGCTCCCCAATCAGTGAGGAGAGAATGCGCATGCGTAATAAATTGCAAAGCGTGCCCCTTTGCCTCTCCAGAGTTTCTAATGGGAGGCCAGCGGCCTCGTTAGGGCTGGGGCGTGGGAGTGTGGTGCAGTTACCATGGGAACCGTCCACTGGCCAATCACCGAGAGAAAGAGGCGGTGTTCGGGAATCAACCTGAGAGACAGGACTAAGCACGACCAATAGAAACAGGAAATGCTGTCCCACCACATCCGGCATTGCCTCTGGCGCCTGCGCTCTGTGCCCGGGAGGCCGGTGACGTCGGGTGAAGTCCAAGATGGCGGCGCTGGGCTGATCCTGCTGCAGGTGAGGGGCTCGGGGCCTGTGGGAGCCAGATGCAGCAGATGTGTGCGGGGGAGCGCTGGGGCTGCGGAGCACCGATTGCGTCCGCATGTATGCTCTCCGTCTTTTGCAGGTGACGGAAGTGCCGCCGCCTCCTGCCTGACGTCCCTGGGGAGACCCTTTGCCGCTCCTTGCAGCCGCAGCCATGTCTGGGCCCGGCAACAAACGCGCCTCCGGCGATGGGGGCTCGGGGCCCCCAGAGAAGTTGAGCCGCGAGGAGAAGACCACAACCACGCTTATAGAGCCCATTCGTCTTGGGGGCATCTCTTCCACGGTTTGTGGGCTCCTGTTCCAGCCCTCACAACTTGCCAGACTCCCAACTCTGTTCTCCGCCCAAATCATCCGGAATCTTATTCCCAGTTCTCCAAGTTTAGCAAGACCCACTTTACAGAACACATTGTTGAAACAAACCGAGAACAAGACGTCTGTTTTCCCTTTACAGATAGGAAAACAGGCTCCTAGAAGGGTTAGGAAGAGACAGAAGCAAACCCTCCTCAACCAAGACGCTATCTGTGGGTGTCTGAGCCTCTTTAAATCCTGTTAGCAGTTAGTTTGGGGTTACTCCCCTTTCCCACCCATTCCATTTGCTTTCCTCTGTCTCTGTGATTGGTATCTTGGGCCCTCTTTGACTTTCTCCTTGGCCCCATTGTTTTCCTTGGTAGGAGGAGATGGACCTGAAGGTTTTGCAGTTCAAGAATAAGAAACTAGCAGAGCGGTTGGAACAGCGACAGGCTTGTGAAGATGAACTCCGAGAACGAATTGAGAAGCTGGAAAAGCGGCAGGCCACAGATGATGCCACACTCCTCATTGTCAATCGCTACTGGGCCCAGGTGGATGCCCCTCTGCTTTCCAAGACCTGGCCTTGATCCAGTTGCCAATTCTCAGACTCCTCTGCTAGGAAGCAGTATTATGATGGGAAGCACCTGAGGGATTCATAACGTTTTTGGTGCTTTCTCCCTTCAGCTGGATGAAACTGTGGAAGCCCTTCTCCGACACCATGAGAACCAGGGGGAGCTGTCTTCAGGGACAGAGGCGCCTGGGACCCAGGAGGGGCCGACACGTGATGAGACCCCTCTCACAGAGCCAGGGACATCAGAACTGAGGGGTAGGGCCAGAGCCCTAGGATCTGGGGAGTGTAATTAAGTTCTGGGAAAGATCCTGGAAAGGAAGGGACTTTTGATATTAGGCTTCTGGATTCCCCACCTCCCCTCCCACACGTGCACACAAAATTAACTTCATGTTTGGGCAGCATAGTACAGTGAGTAAAAACACGGGCTTTGGAATCTGAGTGACTTGGTTTGTAGTGCATTTTATGTCTTGGCACTCACTTCAAAAAAAGTGTCAATATTGAATGTTCATTTGTTTGGCACTGATCTACACTCGCAGGAGGCATAGATAAGCAAAAAGAAATACTATCCCTACCATCAGAGAAGAAGTGATTGAAAACCATAAGTTAAAAGTATAGGGGCCCCTGAGCAGGAATTAGTGTGTATGTACTTGTGCGTGGTTCTATTTGTTTTACTTACTGATTTCAGGGGGGGAGAGAGGGAGAAGCACTGATTTGTTGTTCCACCTTTTTATGCATTCATTGGTTGATTCTTGTATGTGCTCGGATCCAGCCACAATCTTGGCATGTCTGGATGATGATCTAGCCAACTGAGTTACCTGGCCAGGGCCTTGTGTGGGTTCTGATTTAGTTTGAGAAGGCAGAGAAGGCTCCTGCGGCAATAATTGGGAGCTTTGTGGCCTTGAGGAAATTACCTCTTGAATCTCGGTTGTTTTGATTTCAAGATAATAACAATGTACTACAGGTGTCAGTTGTTTTGATTACGTGAGCCATAGAGTGTTGAAGGGCTCTGTGTGGTACTTGGTGCAGAGTTGTGGTAACTATTGTTATTATCCTCATGAGTGTCTGTCCATCCTCCCAGAGACCCTGCAAGTGCAGCTGCGGCCCCCACTCAGTGAGCCAGCCTTGGCTTTTGTGGTAGCACTGGGCGCCAGCAGTATTGAGGAGGTGGAGCTGCAGCTGCAGGGCCGAATGGAGTTCTCCAAGGCAGCCGTGTCCCGTGTCGTAGAGGCCTCAGACCGCCTACAGCGCCAGGTGGAGGAACTCTGTCAGCGAGTATACAGCCGAGGTTAGTGCTTTGTGCCCCCCCCCCCCCC